GTAGGGAGTCCTGTGGGAAAGGCGTGCGGCCGGAAGATGTGAGCGCACTGGCGAGTGATAATGTCAGCTAGAGAGATACGGCGTGTCATTTTACACAACCACACATCAAAAAAGACAGTGGGGGGAGAGAGAGGAGAAGACAGCATGTCATTTGTTTGCTTTGATACAAGATCGCACCGAGGGAGGGAATGGAAGGCTCTGCAAATGCGTGTCTGTGTGTGTGTGTGTGTCTGTGTGCGTCTTTTTTGACAGTGTGTTTGTATACCCAGCACGTGAGCAGATGAAGGGATAATATTTCAGGGGTATTTACTAAATGTCTTATATTGAGTTACACTTAAATAGACACACATGAAGACTGGCACAGTCCGGCGAGGCATTTCTTCTGTACGCAGCATCGTGAAGGCCCCAGTCGAACACCCTGACACTGAAGATTTGTGTTTAGATTGACATTTTCCTCTACTTTCAGTCAGTATCAAGGTATTGCTTTGACCTGTGAGGATTATAAATTTATGTTATTCACTATCTACCATAAAGTTGTCTGAATGCATTGCTCGGCACATAAAAGTGACATTTTGCGTTGTTGATCTGTGGCATGTATACAAAATCCATACCTGTGGTCACTGAGAACTTGTGTGTGGCTAAGGGAAAGATACTCCGCTAGTGTACTCTATTACAGATACACACCCTGCACTTGAAATGTGTCGAAGTAAAGGCACTCATATTGCAGTAAAATGGGACTAATGTACTATTAAATATAATGCTACATTATTAATTGCTGATTAATGTGCAATTCTCATTTGAATCTAGCTGCCAGGGGCAACCAGTAACTCCAGCTGTAATACAGATTTATTGGGGAAAAGAAGTGGAGTTCCTTTTAAGCTGAAATGGGGTAAAACTGTAAAGGGCTATAAAAATGTAAAAGCGTTGAGAAGAGTAAAGAAGTTTTACAACAGTATCAAGAACACTTCTATTTAATTCAATTCAAATGTATTTACATAGGACCAAATCAGAACAGCAGTCACCTCAAGGTGCTTTATTTTGTAAGATAAAGATCTAATACAGAGAAAACCCCAACAATAAAACAGTTCCCTTTGATCAAGCACTTGGCGACAGTGGGAAGGAAAAACTCTGTTTTAACAGGAAGAAAGCTCCAGCAGAACCAGGCTCAGGGAGGGACAGCCATCTGAAATGGGCAGGTGGGGGTGATGGGAGGGAGACAGGACTATATATATATATATATATATATAGATATGTAGATATATACACATATGTGTGTGTGTTTAAATTTTCACTGTGACACCTGCACCATAACACGTAATAAGCTTCATCACCATATTGGTATTGAAGATGAGGTAGGAATACGTGCCTATATGAATGCTTACTCGTGTGTGAAAATATCCACACAGAGATGCTTTTAAAACGTAAAACAGTGTAGACGTACCATGCTGCACATTTTCAGGCTGTGGGGCCATCTAATCTTATGCTTTAAACTTGAACTTTAAATGTGTTTAAGAAAAGAAAATGTATAAACTGTCATAATCAAAATGAATCCTTGTGCTTAATAGTCAAAATGCCAAGATTTTAACTTTCCCTAAGAAAGTTCAAATAAATGATAATTAAAATCCTTCTCCAGCTTTGATTCAGCAGCTACTTGGACAGTTAATCCTTCACTCTTGAAACACAATTCTTTTTCTTAAAGTGTGTATTTTTTATGCTGAAAACTTTGCTTCAAAGAAAATGATGTTTTTGCTGGTTGAGGGCATGGGCTTTCTCGAACGTATTCTTTAACTCTTTTCTGGGCAGCCTCAGTTTTTCTTGTGTTTTTTTGTCAGCGTGAGTTTGTACCTGTCAGATTTCCACAGCAGCTTGGCGGGAATTCATTCCCTTGAATCGACTGCTCGGCCACAAGTGCTTTAAAGTAAAGTGAGTCCTTGAGTTTCAGTCTCTCTGGCCATCTCTGCGTTTTGGAAGAAGTGTGCGGGTGTGTGTTAAAGCAGCTTGTTAACACGTACGCCACTGCCTTGGCCGAGCCTCTCTAATTATTCCCTTCCAACGAAGGGCCGAGACAAGGAGAGAGTGGTGATAAACACATTTTCTTAGCACGTCTTTCCCCTTTCCGTTTGCTTCACTAAGTGTGCGCCTGTGTGTGTGTCTGGTTGTGTGATGCTGAGCAGCTGTGACAGTAAACAAGTTAATGAGTGGCTAATAGAAAGCAGGTGGTGATTGGTTGTGATCCTCCCAGCAATCAGTGTATATTCAGAGATTTATACAGATGCCACTGTCTGCACCAAGGTCACATAGGCACAATCACCCTGTCTCCACAGTTTCTGTACTAGAGCAGATGAAGAGATGCCCTGTAAAGTCAATTATTATTGTTGCATTCCCAGCTGGGAGATAGCATTGGTGCATTTGAGCAACAGTCTGCTGTTGTCTTTGCATAACCACAGAGGCGGCATGTGTGTGTGTGTGTGTGTGTGTGTGTGCGTGCATGCTGCCTCCCCACTTTGTCTTTATTTGTAAACATGCACACTCACATGTGTAGGACAGTGGGTGTATGCACATATGAGCGTGTTTGCGAATGTTTGGATAATTTGCGCTCTGCGCACTGTTCCCTCTCTGTTTATTTGTATACGCCTGTTTGTGTGAGGCCCCTCTCAGGGTTCGACTTTCAAGGCATTGTGGGAGAATTTGTAGGAGTTGTTTGTAAACATCAACAGCAGTAAGTTTTATTTTATTGTAGCTTTATTTTATGACATTATTCCCAGATGGCTGAATAAAGCCTGCAGTTTTTTTTTGCTAATGCGTCTACCACACATCCTGCAGTCCTTTAACTCGTCCTCGCCACCACGCAGATGTTTTCTTTTTCTTTTAGATGCAAACCGACAACACGGTCTTTCCTCTTTTTTTCTCTCTCCTCCTCTTACAGTATACACCCAGGACCAGAATCCCCTCCTCTTTTCTATAAATCCCAAATCCTGTGTTGAATGGATCAGGACTTATTCAAGTTGGAGGCAGGAGCTTTTTTTTCCTCATTTTTACCAGCTCTGTGACACTGTGGGTGAGCGCTCCCATATTTCTCTTTAATTAAGCCAGGGAAAACCTTGTAGTACAGCCAACCCAGCTCATGTAGCCACTTATGTTTTAATTTAATTACCTGTCCACTTTGATAATTATTCCTCCTGATTAACAGGGAGAGAAGGGTTCCTAAATGGGATGGAAGATGGGTTAGAGGTCCAAACATCGTTTTCCTCCTTTCACCAAGAACAAGAATGAGGGTACCGAATTTAGATGTCCAGGTCAGCTTGGACTGGCTTGACTTTATTCAGGCAGTGCAGAGCACCGAGTCCTCTCATTTCCCTGTTTTATATTTAATCCTGCGATTTTATGCAGCTGTAACCCCAAAACAGACAACAACACACAAGTCATCATTCTGCAGGCAGGCGGGGGTGATTGAAATCTTTAGTCAAAATGTCAGCAGTTACACAACAACAAGCACAAGAATGATTCAGCCTCTTTGCTCTCTGCTGTGCTTCGCACATAGTTTTCAGATGCAGGATGCAGGTTGATGTTAACTAAGCATGTTCACCCTGCTGGGATTGGGTTAGAAACTTTCTTTAAGAGCCCTTGCGTGGGTTTTTCCAGATCCAACTTTAAAAAAATAAAAGAAAAAAAGGTGCACCTTCCTAATCACATCCACTTAGAAAAGCATCACTCATCACCATCCAGTTGCTCACATTAGCGCCCGTCAATTCTCGGGAGATTTATTTCAGACATATGACAAAGTGTTCCTGGCAAAATCCGTCAGGCTCAGAGGAGTAAGTAAAGGAATATATGGGTGCTCATATACACTCACACACACAAACACACACCCAAACATTTGCACGCCGACACACACACATGTGGAGACACACATATTTTTAGTGCTATTGATTGTGTTAATGAATGTGTTGTGATTTACTGCAGTGGTGGCCGATTGTTAGGTGGTGTCGTGATGGACTGCCATCATTTTCCAAAGGTAAAAGCATAGATAGAGGAAAGGCAGGAGGGCAGAATCCCATTTAATGGCCAAAGCAAAATTATTCCTTGATCTTTCTTTGAGTTATAGCTTCGTTTTTTTCTCCTCCTCCCTCCCCCACTTTTTTTTTCTCCAGCGACAGGTATGATGTAATTTCCAAATTTCATCAGAGACAGTAATCTCAACACTGATTATCCTGTCAATTAGTAAATGAATGTGGTGGCAAGGGGGGGGGGGGGGGGAGCTGGTAATAACTCTGCAAAAAGGAGTTGTCAAGCTTCCAAAATACATAAAGGACACAGTGAGGTAGGCAGACAGTAAAATTTATCTAATCACAATATAACTGTCTATTCTGAAGGGAAGTGCATAACAAGAGTGAACCTACTAAAACGGATTTTATACCTGTTTTTATTTTAGGAATACAGCGTTTTTTATTATTATTTTTTTTAGGATGGCATAAATCTTTCTGACATAAATCCATATAGGATATTATTTGGCATTAAAACCTCTTTTTTAATGAAATTACATTAACAAAAGTCAAGAGGAACAAGCATCTAAAAGACAATAAAGAAGCTATATGGAGAATTTTGCCATTTTTTTAAAAAGTTTGCAAGGTTTATTTATTCTTTTTACGATTTACTTTTTTATTTACAGATACATTCGTAACTCTGACATGCAGACACGTAGAGAAAGCGATCATTTCATGGCAGACTTTGTTCTGTTTTAAACGATCGTTCTTTGTTACTGGTGGGGGGTTTTTTTTTGGGTTTTTTGGGAGCTCAAACTTTGCGCAGGATAACATCTGTTCCTCTCTGCCGCCACAATAGCGCAACTCAACCAGGATGCAAAAGCGAGGTCAAAAGATCAGTGCCTTCCCCTCATCCGTGCGCATGCACGCCCACACACGCGCGCACACTTCTCCGGGGAGCGACGGAGAGATGCCTCTCACTGGCTGCTGTTTTATTATGCGCCGGGGCTTTGCATGGATAGGACGAAAACGCGCACCTGCTTTAGAGGCATTACGGTAGCACAGCAAACTGTCCTCCCGCAACACACACTCCGCACTCGTACACACACTCGTACACACATACAGCTCCAGTGATTCAACCCTGATTTCCAGCGAACGAGCAAGCAACAGACGGGATGGCAAAAAAGTGAAGACCGTTGGAGAGGTTATACGCGCTGAGTGAGCCTGCTGAGGAGAGAGCTGGGGCTTGGGGGGAGAGGAGAAAAAAGCGGAGGCAACTAAACAACAAACAGAAACGAGAAGCTGCGTTGTTTCTCCGCGGCAACTTGCGCTCAGTGCCAGAGTTTTAGCGGCAGTATTGTTCTGACTTCACTCCAGAGGGGCCACTCCGAGGAGAGAGGACGCACACAAAAGGGGAAAGGAAAGGACTAACGAGCACGTTTTTCTTTTTTTTTTTTTTGGTCGTTTAAAGTAATGGTCCTGCCGTCTTAGATCCTAGATTTCTCTGTCTCTCTCTGCTCTCTGTTTCTTTCCACTTTTATTTTTATATTTTTTTTTTTAAATTTTACGTCCCTTCGGTTTGTGTCCCCCCTTTTGTCGCCGCGAGAGAGTGGACGCGCCGGGGTTTGAGGAGCAGAAGCGGGGCTGCCCACATGGTCCAACCACTGGCGTGAAAGTTGACTTCTTCAGAAACCAAGAGAACAGGTTGATGCATTATCTACACGTTTCCCCCTTCTTCTTATCTTCCTCACTTTCCCCTCACTCTGTGCTCCCATTGAAACTCTCCGACACACACGCTGCTAGACGCTTTTAAAGCGACGCACTTCAACTTTTCATGGCACGTTGTGAAACTCCTCCAGGTCTGCCTAATAATGTGATAGAGTATTAAAGTAGGTACGATCCAGCGGCCACACTAGGGAGGTTTTTGTTTTTCTCTTTTTCTTTCCCCCTCCTCCGTACTTTTTCTGTTTCATTCTAACTCTGACTTTTTCCTGGAGTGAAACTTTTTTTTATTTATTTTCATACTTTCTGTTCTAAAAAAGAAAACATATTTAAACCAGCTGTTTTCGTCCTTTCAGTGTTCTCGGTAGAATGAAAAATCGAAGTTTCTTTCTACCTCATCACTAGTTTCACGCCAACCTATATCCACAGAGTTCAAATCCAGCCTCCTTTTAATCGTCGTTTATTTAACTGGATATTACGGTGTAGTTTGTAAATTCTCTAGAGCCTACTTTGGATGACTCGGAGGGATACCATTTTTTGCGTAATGTGTCATTGTCCGAGGTTTTCGCTTATGAGACCAGAGAAAGGAAAAAAAGTTTATTTCTCGCAGGTTTAGGACGAGCTAAGATTTCGGGAGTGGACTCAAACGTAGGGAATAAACTTGTTGATATCGCTCGTTATATTTGATCATACGCGTGGACGTGGCTTATGTGGTGGCAATTTTACACGAACGGTCACAGGCAGCCGTGTGAGAACCACTTGCTTTGCCATCGCTTCATACCTCTCTACCTCACAGCTGGGTTTAGTGTCTTTTATTATTGAACTTTAGTTTCCTACAATTAAACGTTAACGTTTAAAAATAAAAAAAGAAAGGCAGTTAAACTTCTTACTTACAGAAAATCCCTGAACAAAAGAAACAAAAGAACAAACAACTTTCTTATTGACACGTTTAGAAGGTCTGAGGACGTTAGTGCCTTTAGGATTTAGGACTTTTCTCTGACCACTGAGGTTAGAGTTGCCCGTTGTGGTTTCCTTATTTGAGCTGAATTAAATATCCTAAATGATATCTTAAATAATAGCAGCTCTGTTCTTTAGAGAGGGACGTTTTACCAGCTGAACGTGGAGGAAAACTTCTCCCTGCGTTGTAAAACTTCCAGTTCCAGTTTCAACGTGAACTTTTGAACGCTTTATGTACATAAGCAGGATTATGGACATTGATTTTACGTACATTATAACCCTGACGCGTTTAAGGTTTTTTTTTTTTTCAGAATCGGTAATTTAAAGTGATTTAATTAAAAAGAATGCACGTTATATACTTTCTAGATTATAATATAATAAATCTACTGACATAGAAATTTCTTTTTTAAGAAATTGAACACAACCTCTGTGTGACACATGTTTTTCCCTTCTTCTCGCGCTCATAAACCGACTAAAAGTAGGCCTGCACCACAAAGGAAAATATTTCTTTTTTCTTCCCGCGAACTGCGACTTGTTTTAAAAAATAAGAAAAGTATTCTGCAGAGATAAAAACGTTTAATGTGGATTTTCTTGTGTGCACGGCGTGCAACACAAAAGCAACTTTTGGGCCGTTGAAACAAAGTTGCTGATCTTTTGAGGGTTTTTGATTTTCTTCCATTTCCATGAAATAAAATTGCCTTTATCAAATATGAGATATCGGGCCGGGCACACAGAGACTCTCGATTGAAACCTTCAGATCAAGAAAAAAAAGAGGGAGAAATGAAATGACAATTCGTTGCTGTTAGTTGTCTGTCACCGAGAGAAAAGCGTACAGGCCGTGTGGGTGCTCACCCTGACACGGGCATTATTGCCCCGTGATTGATGGGCGCCGGGGCATTTGGCATAATTAATTTTATTTACTGTGTCCTCTCTCTCTCTTTCTCTCCCTCTCTCTCCCTCTATCTCGCTCGCTCTCTCCTGTTGTGCCCCCTCCCACTCTCCTCTGTGGTGGCATTTCCGCGACGTGATGACATACTTTTAATTGCACTTTAATAGAAGATCCAGCGGGAATGAAAAAGCTCTTAATCACGTTTTATGACCTTGTCACAGTTCTGGTGTCAGACAGGAAAGCAGGTATTTTGTGGTGGCTCCGAGCCCGTGCTGTAAAGTGTATACCGATTTTCTTTCCTTCATTTTTTTTTTTTAAGATTATTTCATCTTCATCTATCACGCCACAAGCTGTGGAAAACGCACCTTAGAATAGTTAATGCACAGTGGCCTTCATGCAGATACAAACCCTGTTGCTGTTCATTTTAGCCATCTATCCTGGAAGGGAATTTAAACTGTGTGTGTTGATTGGTAAATGTAGTAGAAGAGGCTGACTGCATGTTTTATAAGATGTTTTATAAGCATATTTTTTAAAATCCTGAATAACTGGACCAAACCAAGCTGGCAGTAACTCAGTACTATCAGATAAACATTTTTTTTCCTTTTTTTTTTTACAGGCTTAACCATTTTGCCAAATATGGTAAAATGTTTCCTAAAATTATGGAAAATGTAAATCTTATATTTGTGATGGTTATTAATATTATTAAATTAGGTATTTCACAGCTGCCTGATCTTTCAGCTGCTTAAGTTCTTTTTGTTGCAGTAAAAGCACAGCAGCTGTGTTGACTCAGTTTAAGAATGATCTTTGGAGTTGGAGCTATGACTTCTCAGCACCCATGCCAGGTTACTACACAGTTTTAGCTGTTTTTAAGTTTCTGTTTCAAGTGACTGCTTTATGAAGAAGAAGCCTCATGGAGCTCAAGTAGAAGTGTGAAACACTGCTGAAGAATAGAGTACAGGGTTGTTTTTATTTCTTCTTCTTCTCCTTTAAAAAAAAACCATTTGCCTACCACATAAAGCCTGAAAAAAATCGGTGTGAAGTTATCATTTTCGTGTAATGCTTATCATTGATAGGCTATCACATTAGTGACAGGCTTTTCATGAAAACACAATAAGAGACAGTGAAACAAAAGAGTGTTTGAGAGGCAGAAGTAGTTATTTAGTTTTTTCTTGTTGTAAAAAGAGTGTACGTGTGCAGGAAGCCAGAGGTGTCAAAGGCAGATTGACTCTCTGCTCTTTGTCGGGTATTGTTTGCCTGTGTCTGTGTGTTTGCTTGGCATTGCCACCTTTTTTTCATCTGACTTGCATCAACACTTTTTCCCATCTTTGGTGGTGTTTTTCTTCTTTTTTCTCTCCTCCCTCCCAGCAGCTGTGTCTTTTCCACGTCCTGTTTCTCACATACTGCTGATTTTTAATCGCTTTCAGACGCACAGTTGTCTCTGTTATGCTTTCTGACACCTTTCCTAAATGATGATATTTTATTTTTCAGCTTGGTCCCAAGTATGTGATCGTGTGCCGGGGTGTGACTGGAAGAGTCATGTGCGAGACCGTCTAGAGACGGGTAGTAATGGCTTTGAATCTCGTGCGCTTTAAAACCCCTTCAGCAGGATTAAAAGCCACCAACATGATTGTGTTAGTCCATAAACTCGCTCAGAGAGTCCTTACCTCCAACATGAGCGCATGGGAATGTATGTGTGAAAAGAGTGTATATATCAGAGTGCGGGAGTGTGTGTATACGAGAGTGCTTTTTTCTCAATTCACCTGTCCTGCTCGAGTGAAAATGGACATTATTTCAAGTTTTAAATGTCCTGTGCGTCGGTAGCATTGATGGCTCGCCTGTCCGTCTCTTCATCTCTCGTGCTCTCTTCATTAAAACCCTCCTGCTATCCGAAACCCACAAGTCTGAGTGGGCTTTTGGCTCCAAAGTGATGTTGAAGAGCACCCGTATATGACACTGCTATACATGTAGGGTTTGACCTGTGATAGATATTCACAGATTTACTTCTATTGCAGCACTTAGTGCTTTACCTGCTTAAAAAAAGCTGAAATGGTTAAATTTTCGATATCCTTTATTTGAGAAAAGCAAAAAAAAAAAAAAGCCCAAAAAGGAAGAAAACCCGTGCTGGGAGAGAGAGCGTGTTTTTAGATGGGCTTATTTCAAGTGTCGGTCCTGAAGCTGACATTATTGCAGGGCTGCATGTATTTGAGGTGAACATGCGTCGGGCTTTAAGCGCGGAAAAGACAAGGATATGAGATATTCTGCTGATCGTAGCAATTCTATAAATGTTTGTTAAAATTTCAATTTGAATTAGGTGTATCAGAGATTTTCATAGAAATGTTTTTTCCCCCTTTTCACATTTTTCTGTGATTTAAAAAGAAATTAAGTGTAATAACAATTTGGCATTACAGTATAAATTATTTTACATTGTTAAAAAAAAATTCTTGAAATTTTATGAACAAATGTGTGTGTTAGGTGTATGTGTTATTGTGTATGGACAGCTCAGATGGTGGGTTAATGTTCTGGTTGTGAATTAAAGTCGGTGAGTGCACAGTGAAACTGCCGGCACATTGCTTTAGACTGAGGCCTGATTATACATGTGGTTCTAATTGAACCTGTTATTTAGCAGAAGTTAAGGGCTGAATAATTTCTATGAAAGCGTGAACATCTGTGTGTGTGTGTGTGTGTGTGTGTGTGTGTGTGTGTGTG